AAAAGTTAGAGTTTGTAACCTCCAACATATATTCCTAACCAACATTCCATACCCAGAGTGATGGCAGTCATGCTTTAAAGAACAAGGGGGGTGGGGGTGGAGAGGGGTGGGAAGGATACCAGAAATTAAGGATTATACTAGTTGAAAAGAATTTAAAGTAAATCGAATATGAAAATTATTTCAAGATTCATCCAAAAAAGTATTAAGTCCATTATTATTGTCCTAATCGGCTATCATCTGCCATGGTCTATTTGGAACACACAGATGTATCAAAACACAAATTTAGATCATGTTTGCATGTTGGAGAAGAGCTAACAGAGTGATGGAGAGTGGAAGCTCTGTTCCAACGGTGAGAAGGCAGTCGATGTATTTGTGTCTAAAGAGTCATGAACGAAGAGTTAAAAAGATGTGTTGCAGGAATTCTAGCTCTTGGGAGGAGCAAAGTGTAGTGTGTTTGAAATAGATCTCATTGAACTAAACCAGGAGCTGAGTTTTAGGCATTGCCACTGATACACTGTGCTTTGGTATAAGCCATGTTATATTTTCACATTTTGGAAATGTAAGTGCCTAAAAGGTAGGGCAACATCAGGTCATAGCCCCTATTCCACATTTTTGAAGGCTTCCTGTCTTTTACACTTTCTTGTCAGTGGGCAGCTTCACTCCTGATTCCTCATGTTTCCCCTTTCCACTCTAGGCTCATCCTGCTTTGCATTACTTCGAGAAGTGACCTGAAGAATCTTAACTAGGCAGAAATTATCCTTTGTTTAAGAGTCTATTCTTAATCAGGGTTTCACAAGGATACCAAATAAGCACAACTAAAATACAATCAGGCAAGACCGTTGCAGCCTCTTGCAATTCCAGGACATTCCCCACCAACTTGGAAATATTCCCATTATCCTTCAGTTCTCCCAGAGAACACAGATCAGCATTCTTGGCTAGACTTGCCAACCCTTAATTTGTCAGTAATCACCAGCTTTCAGAAATGTATAACCTTTCTTGGAATCATAGGACTCAAAGGAAACCCAAGAGATCACTTTATTCAATCATCTGTAATCTCTAAATGCATTTTCTCTAGAAAAACCAGCACTTTGTTTAAACTGATGCTGCAGTGAGTATGTATATTATAAGCCTGCTAGGCATAGGCACTCCCTGACTCATACAATTCTTCAAGGCCTATAGATACTCTGTCAACACACATTAACACCACAAAATAGACCAAGTCAGGATGTCTGCAACATCTTCACTAGTCCTCTCTCTTCTTTTCACCTCCCAAGCATTTTGGCACTCTGATATCCCCAAATTAAGCCACTGTGATTTACTTAGGTGATTCTGAAATTTGCCAAGACATGTTTAACTGAAAGAAATGATGATAGGTTACAGGCAGACAACATGGGGCAGGAGTTTCACAAGAATCACTTTATGGGAAATCCCTCCCTTTTATTCCCTGAAGCAAGTTGATAAATATTTGGAGAAAGAAAGGCGAGTGTGTATGGAGATGAGAAACCTGGAGAATACCTATCACTCTCCTAGTAAAATGAGAAAAATCCTCCAGTCACTTTAATTATTGGGTTATCAGAAAAGTCATGATGCATTTTTTTGCATGGAAAAACAGAAAAAAATACATCATGACTTTTCCAATTACCCAAGATAATCAAAGCCAGTGATGTTTTTATTCCAGTGTGACTGAAGAAATCTGAGGTAACAAGTAATTTATTATTTTATCTTTCCAAATAGAGGACAAAATATGTTCATTTAAAATATTTCATAGGCCGGCTCCATGGTGCAGTGGTAATGTACTGCTCAAGAGAAGTTCAGGTCTCAGATAATGACCACGGTTTGAATTCCTGGTCTGATCAGCCTGAAACATGCCAATCTTGCTCACAAATGGCCAAGATCTAACAGGTTGAAGGACTGGAGGGATTGTGGCATGACCAGACCCAGATGAGAACAGTCATTTCTCTCTCTCATATGTGTCAGCACATGTGCTCTATCATGAGTGAAAAAGACATAAATGGGCCCACCCCAATGGCCCATTTAGAGAACCAGATCCATAATCCAGGCTTAATACTGTTCAGCTAAGCTCCCTTGCCTTGCATCTGCCATGATTCTGACTAGCCATGTATCTCCTCCTGAGGCCCCAGCATTTGTCTTTGAGTGTAGTTGATCTTGTCACTCCTGGTGACAGTCAGACTCTAGGACATTCTGAATCCTTTGCTTTCCCATCAAAATCATCTTCTAAGTAGCCTTGCTTTTTCAGCTTTTGTAGTTCACCTTGTCATCCATCATTGACCCCTACGTTATGTACAGTGTTGTCCTATTAACCATCTCCACTCGCTCCAACTCCCTACTTAGAAACAGGGCAGTGACCTGGCTGCATGTGCGAAGAAGATGGTGAGAACCTACCGCATGATGGATGGAGGAGGCCATCTGGTCGGAGCTACCTGAATGTGCTGAGTGTAATCCTCTCTGCAAGGCTGGGGGTAAGATAACAAAGTGAAGATGCCGTTGAAGGTGTTTTTCTCTCTTACATAAAGGAAATAAATAAAATAAGCCTAAAAAGAAAAAAGAAACAGAGCATCTGTCCCAGGGCATGTGACTCCCATCACCTCTGGTGACTTCTCCAGCCCCTCGGGGCACCCACTGTAATGCAATGAGGACTATTTAAAAGTCCCTTCATGGATCCTGGTGTGCTCTGGCTGCAATACCATCTTGAGTTCTCATTTAGACTTCAGGTCAGGTGTCTTCATGTGACTACAGCCCTGAGGCCTGCAGAAGACTCCCAAAGTACCCTTAGTGGAGCTGCAGATGACCTGCCCAGAGAATTTCTTTTTCTCCAAGAAGCAAAATAATCCCTTAGCATGAACAAACATTTATTTTCTCACAGCTGCAGTCCAGAAAATAAGCTAGACAATGAGGAATAGGCAAAGTTATGATAAGATAATTTATGAAGAAATACTGATAAGCATTCCAAATGGTATTCTGGAGTATTTAAAAGCCTTATCAAGTGAAAACAATTCAATCTGTCATCATTTAAAACTTTCTCAGTAATCTCTATTAATAAATGCTGAGAAAAAGGAAAAAAATATTTATATAAAAGTTTAAGACAAGTATTCTTAATGACTTATTGCTTTGATTATTAAAAAAAAATGTATTATCAATACTTTAGCTAGGTCTATTGACTCTTTACCCCTTAGATTCAATTAGCACCATTCTGAAAAATGTGTTAGAAGTATTAGGTCACGATTCTCTTTCACATCATCTGAGCTTCATGGAACTACCTAAAATAATACATGAGAGTATGCATAGACAAATGGATAAAATACTCTCCTCAGGACCAAAGTAGCACACAAATTGTGGCTGAGGTCATGGGACAAAAAATAGTAAACAGGACACTTTTAACCATCATAGGTTTTATGAAAATATTTCCTTAATCAAAATAAATTTACTGAGTGGTTTTCCCCTAACAAATATACATGGTTTATTCCTGCAACTCATTTCTAATAAACTTCTATGGCTTGTATTTCTACTTTATTTTGTTGTTGCTGTTGTTGTTTAAGATGCATTTGTGGTTAATGGAGCCTTTAAAAATTTACGTTTCTCTCTCTCTCCATGGGACCTGAACCTTGTTCCTCGGAATTGAGGGCCTCTCTGCTGTGCCCCACTGATTTAGCTTCCCAGTTATGCCAGAAGCAATTCTGATGCACACAGACACATGTCATGAATTAAACTCGTAACAGCCCTACCTAGAAAGTAACACGATAAAAACCTAAACGGAAGAAGAGACTCCACTCTATGTTCCACCAGAAGGACCATCAAATAATTACATAAAGAAATGTATTTCTGGTGGGATTTAGATATAAAATTGTGGTTAACTTTTTGCTTTTCTGAACACACGGCAACTATATTTATTTTAGTCTGTCCCTGTATTTCTCACACTAGAGAGTACAACGATATCTCCAGGGGTGGTTATTTAAACAGATTGCTAGGCTACACTCCTGGAGTTTCTGCTTTAGTAGCAGAGGTGGCCAGATAATTTGCCTTTCTAACAGGTTCTCAAGGGTAGTAAATGGTGCTGGACAAAACCACACCTCCCCAAACCACTGGCCTATGTGAAGTATACCATCTATTTTCATAACTTACATTCCTAGTTTTCTGTTGCCCTTCAAAGAAAATGTCAAATTTTCATTCCAGCCCTAGTGCCCTGACTTCTTTCAGTCTCTCTAGTAAACAGTAAAAAGGGAAGAAAAAGGGAAAAGAAAGAAAAAGAAGGAAGGAAGGAAGGAAGGAAGGAAGGAAGGAAGGAAGGAAGGAAAGAAGGAAGGAAAGAAGGAAAAAATAAAGGAAACAAAGAAGAGGGGAAGAAAGAAAGGAAGAAAGAAAGAAAGAAAGAAAGAAAGAAAGAAAGAAAGAAAGAAAGAAAGAAAGAAAGAAGAAAAATCAAAATGATATAGTGATACTACCAGTTATCAAACTTGGATTTACAGTCTTCTATTCATTTTTAAGTGGAATGAAGGCTCCATTATTTATTTTATTTTATTTTATTTTATTTACTTTTTGCCAGAGAGCATATGTACTCACAGGAGAAAGAGAGAGAGAAAGTAAGCAACCCCCCCCCATGTGGAGTGGTCACACTGCAAACTCTTCTCTTCTATTTCTCCCTCCTTTCGGGATTTTAGGTATGCACACATATGTACCTGTGCATTTGTTCTCACACTTCAGTGTCCAGGACTGTGTGTGGGATCCAGCCACCTTAACCACCATGCTACTGACTGATCCTGAAGGTTTTATCTTAATCAATAGATATTAGCGCTTCAAATAAAATCATAAAAATGTAATACAAATATCTAGCATAAAAAAGTGATTATTAACTGCAAAACATTCATAAAATAAACACTTTTCCTCACTGAAGTCTTTTAATACTTACTTAGGAAAGAAGAGTAGTAGTCACACAATGACTGGGAAAAAATAACACTCAATTGCCACACAGATCTTTACGTTTCAGTTTTTTATTTTCTTTTAAGCCAAGAGGGGTTAAAACAGCATAATTAGAGTCTAAACAATCAAAAGGTAGATCACAGCACTTAAATTTGGATCTTTATAACTCAATTTCTTTTCTACATTTGCTTAATGTATTGACAAAAAGTAGGGCATAATCTGACTGACTGCAAAGCAGACAGGACAAGTGGGATGAGGTTCTCAGTGAGCACCTCATCTGTCTTACGCATCAGCGACTCCAAAAACGTTGGGGGAACGTTGCATAAAGCATCTATAAGAACAAATCAGTATTTGGACAGGTACCAGCTGTAGATTTCTGCTTACCTTGCAGTTCTAAAAAGTAAAGATTAGAAATCAAATTAAGGCAGTGCTCAATAAATATTTTTGGTTAATATAAATATTTGCTTTCTCAGAGGTTTCAGAACATTGATTTCTAAAGAACAGACTATTCTTTTTATGCATGATTTGCTCTTTTCCTGCACAGAATAAAAGGAAATTTAACTAGCTAAGAAAGGCATATTCAATATTAAACAAAATTAAATAATTAAGGATTATATGTGCTTTTATCCAAACATTATTATACAGTCTAACCATAATGTGTTTGGGATAAAGCTGAAAAATGGTATAGAAACTATAGGAACCTGACTTCTTTCCTCCAAGGGTGTTAAATGGATCATAAACACTTACAGAATTTCCCAATCAACATCTTGGTTTTGCCTATTCAACATCCATTAATTTCTATTAAAAATTCATCTTTCTAATATTTTTTTGTTTATTCTCTGCAATGCTCATTAAAATTTTCACTAGCTAGATGTCAGGCAAGTTTTCCAAAACATGACTTAAGTGTTTGTACTTTTAAACATCTCTGATGTTACTTCTTGTACACAAAATAGGGAGTCAAAAATACTGTTAGCCAACTTTGTGTGTATGTCCCATTTATGTTTGAAATAATGGCAACCTCAAAAAATTACCATTTGTACAGTTTGTAATCAACTTCTGAAGTCAGCATGGCTCTCAAAGAATCCAAGCAGAGTCACTCAAGTAGTAGTTTAATTGGCTGATACTTTACCACGGAATCAGCTGGCCAACAACACCACCACCCACAATGAGAGATCTGATCACTGCTCTGCTTACTGTTCCACAAAAGCACTTTGAGATCTCATTGAAAGGTCCAAACACATTAACATAGTTATTAATTCACCCTTGAGAGAGTAACAGCTTTCCACCCCAGTGGTTTTATCAGCAGGGAGCCAAAGTCATATAGCCTTATCATCTTTACATCCACCTCTAACAAAGATTATGAAGCACTTAGAGGAAAATGTCACTATTGTCACACTAAAATATTTTGAGATGAAAGTGAAAAATGGTACACGTATCTACAAATCTGACTTCTTTCTTTCCTACAAAGATGCTTAGTCAATCACTCAGCAAACTTTTACCTAATTTGCCAATGGCCATCTTGGTTTTGCCTGTCCAACATCCATTTCCAATTCTGCAGACACAAAACTCACTTGTTCCTTAGGAAACTACTCATTCTGCAATTTCAGTCTACAAGTTGAGTGAGTAAGTAAGAGCACAACTGATTGTACTCCCTGGCTCAAGATATGACAATGTAACTCAGTTCCAGTCAATCACCTAACCACCTCCTTCTGACAACAGTGATTATAGTCTGGAATAAGGACATGACATAAGACAGTCTCCAAAAAAATCTAATGAACATCAGCCCTAGGACTTTCTCTGAGTCTATTGGGAAAGGGAAGCTATGTCTCTACTCTCAAAGAGTACAATTTAGAGAGTTCTTACCTGAAAGCAAAGCCAAGACAGAGAAAATCAAAGACAATAAATAAAGAAAGAAAAATTCATAATGATCAATTTGAGAACCTGATTCATCCTTGTACCTTCTTTTTTACCTGAGTTCGTGTGTGAGTTGGGATTCTTTAAATTGCAACCAAGCATCCTGACAAATTATATGTAACTTAAAATACTCATTAGAAATAAGTGCCAGTGACACAAATATATATATATATATACCTTAAACAATACCTGCCTCTAAGAATCTTCTTAGCATCTGGTTGGACAGACAACTTAGAAAATTAAGTGGAAACATATGGTCCAACCAAACAATAGGTTCTACATGAATGCAGAGAAAAGAGACACTACTATAGGCTGCATATTAATCAGTATTTTACAATAAAAAAAAGGCAGGCTGGGTTTTGAAGGATGACTAGGATGTGGCTGCCTACTGAGGAGGCAAAAGGACATTTCAGGAAGGGTGAACTATGAGAGAAGAAATTCAAGAATGTGCACAATGTATTGGGGAAACAATACAGTATAAAAAATTAATCATAACATATTAAGTCATGGGATATCAACAATAAATATTCAGGTCCAGAAGTAAAAAGCACTCATATTTCTCTAATAATAAGCAAGTAGGTATAATATTTTAAATTTACTCTAGGAGATAATATTGATTACCCAACTAGACTATAATGACTAAGCATTGAAATTTTGACTGGAGAACTAATGACAAAAGTCAAAAGCCAAATGTAGTCTTTTCACTCTCTACACAACCATTTCACTCAAGCAGCTCCTCCTGCCTATTTCGGTAACATATCTAAGCTACAACTAAAGGGCTTTAGAAAATAAACTATACTGTATATATTTGATCAGCTCCTGCTTAAGAAACCAGGACAATATTACAATATTAGAGCCATGAACCAAGAGAAAGTTAGAGAGGAAAAAGATAAAAAAACAAAATTGTAAACCAAGGAATCAAGTAGGGTCATGCAGTTTTTCAATCTGTTTTGTCCAGTTTCTCCATGAGGTGAAAAGTTTATAATAGAAACTATTAAAGGCATTTTCTATTTCCACTGTGGTTTTACCCATTTCCCTTGTGTAATTAAGAAATTGCATGGGCAAAATTTTGGTTGGCTCTTGTTGCATGCAGGAATGTAAAGTGTCTATGGCTCTCTTTCCCCTTCTTGGAGGGGATTATTGTTTAGTTAATTAGAATAAAATGAATGCTTTGTTTAGCTTTTTAGAAGCATATTTTACCAAAGGCCATTGTCAATTTTGTAGAGAATGTGTAACTTTGCTGGTAATTATTCTCTAACTTAATCATTTCTATTCCTGATATATTGCTCAGGGCTATGGATTGTTTCCTCCAAATTTTACTGAGAAAAATTGACCCAACATAATTACATGGTAATACATATTTCCATCTAGAATCATCATCCTCAGTAATGTTTGCATGAAAAAGAATTTGTCTGATATCACATTATGCCTATTTAAATTTCTATTTCCATTTGTGGCATTATCATAATTGTTTCTGCCAGTATAATACATGTCTATCTAAAATTAGCATGTTGCCAAAAAAAAGCACTTTCACAAGACAAGAAATCACTGTTGGAGAGACATTGGCACATCCATGTTTATTGCAACATTATTCACAATAATTAAAACATAGAATCAACATAAATGCCTAATAACTGATGAATGGATTTAAGAAAATGGGGCACATATGATGATGGAATACTACTCACTCATGAAGAATAAGGATATATTGTCATTTGACGCAGAGGATGAATCTAGAAGATATAATGCTAAGTGACATAAGCTAGGTTTAAAAAGACAATTACTGCATGTCCCCACTTAGCTTATGCACACTTGGATAATCCAGATAAACTTCCTATCTCAAGGTCCTTAACCACAGCTACAAGGTCACTTTCCCATGTGAAAAAGCCACACATATTTACAGGTTCCAGGAATGGAATCAGCTTGCCAGCATATGCTCTATGGTATATGACCATATGGTACTCTAAGGACTTGATGGCATAAAAATAGAGAATAATGGTAGATACCAGAAACCACATGGGGATACTATGAGGGAGGTTCAAGAGAAAATGATAACAGACACAAGGACGCATACAAACAAGTGTTACTAGGTTATGGAACGGTGTACCACAACAGAGTGGAAAGGAGTTGCTGCCAATCTAACATATATCTAAAAAGTAGAAGAAATAGAATTAATATATTAATGTGCACATTATGATGTAGATGTTGAAGATGATGAATATGTTTATATCTTTGACTTGATTATTACACACTGTATGCATACTTTGAAAAACTACACTGTACTCTGCAAAGATGTACAGTAATACTACACAAATGAGAAATGATAATAGCAGTGGACTCCCACATTGCTGTTGAGAATCCAGTGGCTTGAAACTCACACTGCATGTATGTGCGTGCATACCAAAAATTCCAAGAGGAAAATGGAGAAGAAGGGATTGTGGCATACCCATCCCCCCTCCCCCACCCAGAGATGGGCAGAGTGATTTCTCACTTTCTCTAATTCCATCCCTCTGTCTCTCTGGTGAGCACACACACATCCTGTAGCAAAAAATCTCTTAAATTTAAAAAAAAAAAAATGCTCTCAAAAACCTCACCATCTTACAACTCTGTCAAAGCCAGTTACTATACAGTGGTTGCTTATAAACAGAAATCAAAACAACAAATAAAATGTCCTTTCTGTCAAGCCAAAATAAGAGAACAGGAAAAGGAACTGGCCTATGATTAAACTTGCTTTTATTTTGAAAGGATCTCATTTTTACAAGAAAGGCTTTAACAACTGAAACTCTTGGGTTAGACAGTGCACAGCAATAGCACAGCTGGACCCACAGGGTCTCAGGCTCACGTTCATTTCCCTCTTTGGCACCCTGGGTGCATGCACACATGCACATGAGCTAGACCTGCTGGGGCAGGGAGTAAATCACAGTGTGGAGATGATAGTGGGGTGCCTCTCTATCTCTTTCTCACTCTCTCTGAAAAATATAAATAAAAAAATGAAATTCTAGAGCTGTTTGTTTACTTTTTACCATTTATAATGAAAGTATTATTTCCTAAAGCAAATAAACACATGATTATATTCCCTCCCTATTGTAAGTAAAAGTAAATGTAAATATCTTTATTTGCTAAGTTATATTATTATATATATTTGTTATATGGCAGAACTAAGTTCTTTTTAAAGAATTATTTTATTGAGACCAGCAGTTGGCGTAATGGGTATGTCGCTGGACTCCCATGTAATCAACCATGGTTCGAGTCCCAGACTTAAACTCTGGTGCGTGTCTTGCATGCTCAAGATCCCAGAGGAGGATGGAGGAGAAGGGACTGCGGTGTAGCCATCCCCCTGGGGGAGGGGGAGTGATTTCTCGCTTTCTGCCTCTCTGTCTCTCTCTGTCTTTCTGGCGAGAGCACGCACCCTACAGCAAAAAAACCTGCCCCCCCCAAAAAAAAAGAATTGCTATAATGGGCCTGCGCTAGCCAGAAAG